AGTATTTAATAGGCTGAGTATTAACGTACTTGTAGTACAACGAAACGAGGATGTCCAATAGTTCTCAGAGCGTACAGATCTGGATTCAAGAAGAAAGGTCAGGAACTATGAATACCTGGGAATCGCCAAGATCACAGCTGATAAGTGAAATTGTGAGCATAATCAAGACTGCATAGAGTACTTACAAAGCAAACAGCAGGAACAAGAGAATAGGATGTTGGGAAACACCAACATTTATGGAAAAATCATTAAAGAGGAATAAATCAAGGAAGTGAGAAAAAGAAGAAAGAGCAGCAAAGACCACCACTGCAGACCACCAAATAAGGGTCTTTATAAGAACAAAATAGATGTTATGAGTAGAGGCAGGCTCTAGATTAAATACCACATCATTAGCTTCTTTATCTACAACAATATGAATAGACTAGTGCGTTTGGGAAGTGTTCCCAAACATGCATTTGGGAAGCGAATGGGTGGGAAGAAGAAGCAGTTATTCTTTTTCAATAAATTTTGCAGTAAGAATGCAGAGAGAAAAAGCAACAGAAAGAGTTTGGAGACAGGGACAAGGGCAAGGTTTTTTGGTTTTTCTCCTTTGTTTGTAACAGGGGGTAAAATTTGAGCATGTGTATAAGGAGCCAATGGAGAGGGAGAGATCTAAGATGAAAGATCTAAGATCTAAGACAAAAGGGGGTAAAACTTGAGCGTGTGTGGAAGAAGCCAATGGAGAGGGAGAGATCTAAGATGAAACAATTAAGCCGTCTGGGCAAGTCTCCAAGATGGCGGAAGTGAAGGAGCTATACACAGGTGAACCTCTCCTTGAAAAGGTGAATGGGTATACTTCTGAAATGGGGGGAGGGAGGAGAATGAGATGAAGGCCGCTTAAGAATTTGCAGATAAGTTTAGTAATGGTGGGAGGGAAGCTGAGTGAGTCCACACCACACATCACTATTTTCTGCAGTAGAGTAGGAAGTTAATTATCTGCTTGAAATGGATGTTCAGGAATGGGATAAGAAGCCTAACAGTCACTAAGGTAAATGAAGCAAAGCTCATGAGTAAAGACAACAGCTGAAAGTGAATCTTACCAGTTCTTGCCATTAGATCAAGCCCTTGGTATGAAGACCTGGAGTCTCAAACTGAATTGGGTTAGGATTAGGGTCAAAAAGAAAGATTTAGACAGATCTCTCTCCAACAGAGACCAAATAAGGCCTGATGTTAAAGTAGGGGTGTCCACAAGGTGTTTAGTTCTGACTCAAAGTAATCCCCCACTAGATTTAAAATGGCCTTATGAGAACAGAAGTGGTCAACCCAGAATTGCAGGGTAGAGAAAATTTCAAGTTAGTAATATCCAGAATAATGGGCTTGCCAAGCACTTAAAATATATTAAATGTCACCAGGAGATAGAAACAAACAAAATTTCCTGTCCTTTATATACTACATTTTAAGTTACTGAGAGGCAAATGGTCTAAAATTTACCTGTTATACCCAAGAGGGCCTTACAAAGTGCCTAGAGCATAGCATGGGCTCATATTTGCTCAAAATGGAAAAAAAGCAGTTTTGACAGACCTTGCACTTGCCAAATGCTTTGTGTTACCTTTTAACCTGTATTCAAATATGCACACTTACTCTCTTCATCTCAAACTCTGGGGATGACCAGATTCTGAGTCTTATATACTTGTTCCACAAACAGCAAATGTAATATTCAGAGAAGTTTAGAACTTATAATTTCTGTTTCAACTCTATGTAAATACAAAAAACAAAAAATCCAGGTCCTGTTGACTTAGTCTAGATATATCAGGATCAAATTTCTTGGGTACTCCATGTTCTTTCTTTCTTTTTTTAACTTTTTAATGTTTATTTTATTTTTGAGAGATAGAGAAGGTGAGCAGGGGAGGGGCAGAGAGAGAGGAATCCGAAGCAGCCTCCAGCCTCTGAGCTGTCAGCACAGAGCCAGATGCAGGGCTGGAACTCACTAGCCAAGAGACCATGACCTGAGCCAAAGTTGGATGCTTAACCTACGGAGCCACACAGGCACCCCTCCATGTTCTTTATTTTAGTACTACAATAAATTTAACAAAATCAATCCTACACTAGTATTTTTTGTTCTTTTATCATGGGAACTACTATCTACACTAGGACACAAAGTAAAAGTAGCTTTATGACAACCCAAGAGTGCATTATATTAGGCTGAGTGAGACACAAGACATAAAAATAGAGATTTTTATCTTACATAAAAAGGGAATAGCAAAAGTCTAAAAGATGGCTGACATGGTTGTATGAATATTATATCACAAAAAGAACATTAAAGTATTAAAAACAATGCCTATATAGCTATAGGTGAACTAACATTAAGGAATGCAAACTTGGTTTTAATAATATGAGTGATTACTGTGGACTTAGAGTATTTATCAAACTTGGAAAAACACCTATTTTTCTTCTTTAGACCCTGGCCTTTCAAATCTCCATTAACAACTCAGTGGCGAAGATAAAACATCTGCCAAAATACAGATGACAGCATGAGCAAGTGTCCTAATGGTAGACATTTAGTGTAATGCTTTAACACACTGCCTCTAGACTGCTGGGGCAGCCCCATAAATAAGTACTTTCAAATAGGCATTTACTTCCTTAAAATGGCAACTTGTGTTTAAAAGTAATATATTCTTTAAGAAAAAAGAAAACATTTTCATTTAAGCAAGACAAATTACTACCAGACTTAGACAATAAAAATGTTTTTTAATCGTGTGTACCCTTGCTCACTTTGAACAAAGAAAAATCATTCAAGCACGGAAAAGACGATCCATATCCCTGTCATTATTTGAGTAAAGTTTTATTTGCCAGTTGCTGAAAACTACTGAAACTGCTGATGTGCTTTTAAAAAAAAGTACAATTGAACTTATAGGGGAGGGGGAAGGAAAGGAGCCTAGTAATTCATTCCACATCTTATAAAGCAATAGACGGGGGTGGCAGTTTGCCTGAAAGTAAACGAGAGGAGCGTTTTAGATAATTTCTTTTACCATAAAGGTCAACTGAAACTGTAGTAGCTTTAAAAAAATACCTTTATCAGTCATTTATAAATGAAACTGAAAGCAAAATCAAACTTCAGTACAAATAAACGTACAAATCTGTGACTTTGTTACTCATTTTGGATTCTAAACTCAGTCTCTTAAATATCCTGGTTGGTAATAACTCATATTGAGACTGTTAACATATCTTCATACATGTTCTTTTTAAAACTACATATTAAACACACACACTCCATTATATCTTATGACAAACACTATCACTTCCTGTTTTAATGTATTATGTCAACATTTAACAGAATTCAAAGGTATGTTACTTTTTTTTCAGGTTATTATTAACTAAGTACAATAAAATACTATAAATTGTGAGACTGTGGGGACTTGAGCACATTTATATTGTATGTAAAGGAGTACCAATTAGATGTGATCTTAACTATCATTAAATATGGCCTAACAGAAATCCTATCCCCAAAAGTACCATTATAGCAGTTCTTTTCGATCTGCTTGAAAACAGGACCTCTGTTTTTAAAATACTATATGATTTATATTTTTTATTCTTCAGACTAGCTTTGATGCCAATGCTCTAAGTTACCGGTATTTTATTACAAATTTGTAATGTGGTTCAACATGAAGGCTTTCTGATCACACTACAGGTTTCTGAAAGAAGTATTATTTTAGCTATAGTAATAGTAGTGGCAAGCCACTAATGATAACAAGAAACACTATCTCATCTAATAACAACTCTTTAGATAATAAAGATATTAACAACTCCAACAACCCAGCATGTTTCAAAGATTGGGGAAAATGGTAACGAAGGATTTAAAGGCATAATGGAAACGGCTTGAAGTCACAAACCTTTACAAATGACAATGAGGCCAATAATCGGTTTAAAATCTAATGAATACAGCATTTTAGAATTAAATGTAACAATTGCTTCTTACAGATGTTCAAATTCAATTCTGAATCTTACAAAAAGTTCACAGAAGGCTGTACAGATGTGAAAGCACCGCAGAACCACAAAAATTCCCATTACTCACTTTTTACAGACAGCACACGTTAAAAATGAAAAGAAAAAAAAAAAGCATAATGGATTCCAAAAGCCTAGGGGGCCAAACGCCCTAGCGTTTGAAAGACACCAAATCCCACTCTGCTGCAAGTATGCTTTAACTCTGTAGAGGTTATGGTCTTCATATTTCAAGCGAAATTTGGATTACCGTTAAAACGGTTCGCCAAAATAAAGTGGAAAAACTTGAACGTGCAATAGGGCGTGGAGGTGGGTAGAGAGAGTTTCCAGGTAGCTTATTTCTAGAGTTGAAAAAAAAAAAAAAAAAACAGACAGAAGAGGTTTCCTATTAAATGCTGGGTTGGAAATGAAACTTAATTGTATCCTTTATGTTTCCTCAACTCCTATGTTCAAGTGGGAAGGCAAACAGGAGATCTCCCGTCTTGCAGACTTCGCCAAAATGCGCACTTCCATCGCAAAAGGCCCGGGCCCTCCCACTCTCCCCCCATCATCCCCAAATGCGTTTAAACACAGAGCAGGAAGAGGGGTGCTAAAGCGAGGGGCCCCTAACAGTTGCCACCCCTCGCCTCCGATCGCGCCCTTTCTCTGGTTAATTTCCGCGTGAGGCGCACAGCTCAGAATCTTCCTCGGTGTGCATCTGGAGGTGGAGTACGGGGAAGGAGAGGAACTCCTCTTCTCACCGAGGGGGGAAAAGGAAGAGGCGGGAAAGGAAGGAAGGGGGCGCAGATTACCCCCGGGCCCTCCTACGCTCGCACCCGGAGCGCGCAGGGCCCGAGCGTCCCGCGCTCTGACCACCTCCCCAAGGCGCCGCCGGGCCAGCCGGGGCGCAGCCCACACACCCGCGGGGGTGCCGCGGGGGCGGCGAGACATTAGGCGCCGAGCCTGGAGAAAAGGGCCACTCACCGCAGCAAGCCGAGCCCAGCAGCAGCACCACCACCAGGGGCCACATCTCTGCGGCCGCCATGGGGTCGCCGCCGGCGCCGCTGCAGGTGTCTGGAGCAGCCGCCCAAACAGTCCCAAGCAGGATCTGCCACCACAGCCGTCACAGGCAGGACCGGCCGCCGCCGTCCGTTACATCCAGGACCCGCCGCCCAGGCTGCCTGGCCGCGCGCACGCGCGCTCCTTCCACCCCACGCCCGCTCCCCTCCCCGCACTCCCGCGGACCGAGACGCGCACGCGCACTCGCCCCCGCCCCGCCGCCGGGGCTGTTGACGCGACGCCCTCCTGCTTTGCGGGCGTTCGCTCTCCAGTCGCCTCCGACGAGGCCTGGATCCCGCTCCCACGCAATGGCACGCGCCGGACTTGCGGGTCCCGTCTCGCCACTCTCCATCCCCACCCCCCACGGTGTGTTCGCCAGCCAGCCACAGGAGGCCGGGCGTGTATGCCTGCGTTCGCCCCGGACCTCCCTGCCCCCGCCCTCTCCGCCGTTCTTTCCCGCCTGTCACACCATCCAGGGCCCCGGGTCCTCCCTGCGACGGTCCCCTTCCGCTCGCATTCCCACCCTCACGCTTCGGGAGCGCCGCCTGGCGCCGCTCTCCCCAACCTGGGGGTCTCCGCCCGCACGAGGCCCTCCCGGGTCCAGAGTCCGCCCTCGCGCGGACCCTGCCGCGTCCTCGCCCGAAGCTCGCGCCCCCTAGCCAGGCCCCCGCCGCGAGCGCACTCGGCGAAGGGCAGTAGCTACGCTTCCCGACGGCCTGGGGACCCGGGGCGCCTGGCTGAGTGTCGAGCGAGGGGCGGGCCTGTCTGCAGCGAGTTCCCGCTCCAGGGCTCCCGCGCCCGCCTCGGTTCAGCTGCCCCTTCAGCTTTTGTTTCCGGAGCGGTTGTGGGCTCCCCGCGCGCTTTCTCGCCTTGATCTTTAGTGTTTTTCTCCTCTGAACAGGGTTCCTCCGACACGTTCCGTCGTAGTGGTAAACATTTTTAGGTGTGGTTGACGCCAAGCCCCCAGGCGCAGTCAGGCATGGTTGTAAACGCTGGCTGACACACTCAAGACGTCCCTTCCAGGACCCTCGTTGAGCCTGGTGAGTGACCTCAACCCCTGCAACCCTCTACACTGTTCGGGGTTAGCATGCTTGAAAAATGGGTTCAAAATGAGGACAAGGCCTTTGAATATCTCACTGAATCATCCTTAGTCCTGAAGCAAAAGCCATTTGACAACTACCGGTAACACCCTAAATGGTGAACTAACTCCTGTTAAAAAGTCCGGCTCCGGTGGCTACCTTAATGGGGTGCATATCTGTCTGCTCCCCTTGGTTATTTTTCTCTTACCTGCTGGAAAAGAAAGCAGTTTCTCACCACAGTATCCTACTTCTCCAAATCCTCTTCCGTTCCATCCCATCCCTGTCATAATAAAACCCAGGAAATACAATTGCCCCCCAGACACTGTAGCAGTATATTGTATACTTTTGTAATCTTTTTCTATAGTTTTTGGGGTTTTTTTGCCTAAACCTCTTGCTCACGGCATTATCTATTCTTTCAAATCCGAATATTTTAAGTATTTCCTTCTCTAAGTCTTCCTCCCAAACTGTGAAAACAGAAGGGGTTTAATAAATGTGTCGATGTGACTTGAGGCAAGCATTGTTCCAGTGGAATCTGTTTTTTTATGATTAGATAAAGAAAGAAAAACAATTGCCTAGCAGATATCTCACTAAAATAATGGTTAATAATTATGGTGGTAATGATTTGAATGGCAGCCTTGACACCCTGAGGCTACCAAAGGGACTGATGGATTCTCCTCCAACTGCTGCTTATATGGATACAAAAGAATCATGCACCAGACTTTGAGCATTCGGGACATTGTGTATCACAGAGCAGCTGGTTGGCTAAATAAGGCTGTCAGCTGTCCCTGAGACCAACCGACCCCCCTAAAGCTGAAGAGTGGCTGGGAAGAACTGTCCCCAGTCTTCAGAGGTAGAGATTGAGGGATGCTCCATTTCATAGTAGGGGCTGCTGAGGCTATGTGCTTAGTGTGGCTGTGTGCAGAAAATGTAGTAGGCTTTTGTCAGGTGAATGAGAGGCCACCTGGGTGACCATTTCTACTCTTGGGAATGTGTTTTAATGGTGAAGCAAGAGGAGACCTTTTCCAGAGAGAGAATCAAATCTCTCTTCAATAATCTTGGGCTCCTTTCTCCAGTACCTAACCACCTTACATTTATGTTTCCCTTTTAGTGCTCCCAAACATTTTAATTTGGATTTTGAACTCATCTTATCTTTACATAAGGGATTTTTTTTTTTTTTTTTTTTGGCAGAGCAGAGGGTGGAAGACAGGGAAGTAATACATATTAGAATGTTTTGAACAGAGGTAATACACACTAGATTTATCACCTAAATTAATCTTCATAACAGCCTTGGAACAGGTATTATGATCTCCATTTCAGCAATGAAGAAACAAAGGGAAAGAGGGATAATGAGCACTTTGTCCATACTTATATGTGATACTTCCTCTCTGTCTCTCTCATTTTCGTCTATCTCCCTTGTTCTCTTTTTTATTTCTCCCACAAAGCCTTTCTCAAAAGTACTTTTCCTCTTGCCTGTAATTCTTGACCACTTAAAGGATTTAATTAACCCCTTCCATCATATTTTGCTCATGCTGCTAATAAAATGTGTCAATACATATTTCTTTCTACATATCTGTCTCCTCCTCTGTCATGTCAGCTAGGAGAAAATGAATTTTTTCCTGGGCATATTGGCATCTCCAGAGTGTGGCAGAGTACCTCGTTGAGACCTAAAGAAATCAGTGTGGTATGTAGTATATAGAAGACTTCAGCTTAAGGTTTGAGTTACAGCTCCAGCCGTGTACTACCAGGTAACCTTGAATAAGTTACTTAACTTTTCTGAGCCTTAGTTTCCTCATTTGTAAAGCTAGAAGATAAAGATAATAGATATTAAATCTTCAAATTGCCTTGACAATGTAATAAGTTAACACTTTTACAGTTATATGAAACAGTGCCTGGTGTACAGTAAGCACAAAATCTTAGCTCTTAATATTATAGTCTCCCTATAGTGAGATGGTTCTCCTAAAACAGAAATGAAAATTATTATCAAAAGGATCACTAGTTGCTGGTCTGAAGCCTTGAAGAAGTACTGGGACTTTGCAAAATATCTACATTTGATTCAAACTAGAGGCACATGTTTGTGCCCAGTGGGTAGCCCTTAATCCTCTTGCTTTTCTGCACACTTTGTTAGTGACTGAATGCCGAGTGGCCCACATCTCTAACACCTGGCTCAGGGCCCAGTGTCCTAGGGTGTTATTTCAACTTGACCTAGTTATTAAAGCATAGGAGTTCCAGTCATCAAATAAAGTGATGTAGCAAGGAGGGTCTGTGCTCTCTGGTTAAGGACTAGGTTTGGATGGTTAGGCAGCTGGAAGATACTGACATGTGGTTGGAGAGATGGATTTGGTTTAGGGGAACAGAAGGAAGGCTTTAGCAGCAGGAAATGCTCTTCATCCTCACTTGTGCTTCAATTAGGAGCAAATGTGAGGAAAAGAAATTGCCTCCATGTAGGAGGATGGCAGGACTTAAGGGTTCCAGATAAGAATTATGTTACCAGAGTGAAGACAGTCAGCTCTGGTGTAACTTACCTTCTGGATGTCAGATGTGCACAGGCTTGTTTTGCCTAAGTCAGGGGAAGCAGCATTTCCTCCTCCTCCTCCTCCTCCTCCTCCTCCTCCTCCTCCCCTTCCTCCTCTTCCTCCTGCTGCTGCTGCTGCTCCTGGAGGCTACCCATGTAGGGGGCCCACACTAATGACAGCTGGAAAGCACAAGAGAAAGCTAGCTTCTAGGTTAGGTTGTAAAATCACAGCAGGCTCATTTCTTTGAGAGCACATAATGTTTGGGGTCCTGGAGAGGCCCCTCTGTATCTTGCCTAACTCTCCCCTTTGTGGGCAGGTAGCATACATATAGTGGGTACATGCTATGCACCAAGACCTCACTGTGCTAGTGTATTTATTTTCTATTGCTGTCAGAACAAACTACAACAAATTTAGGGGCTTAAAACGACACTCATTTATTATCTTACAGTTCCATAGGTCAGAAGTCTACTGGACTCCACTGGTTTCTTTGCTTCTGGTCTCACAGGGCTAAAATCAAGGTGTTGCTTGGGTTGTTTTCCCTTCTGGAGGCTCTAGGAGAGAATTCATTTCCAGGTTTATTCGGGTGGTTGGCAGAATTCAGTGTCGGAGGTCCCCATTTTCTTGCTGGCTGCCATCTGGGGTTAGGGGGGCTGGTTAGCATCTAGAGGCCTCTTTTGGGTCATTGTGGAGAGTTGCATGTGGTCTCTGAATATCTCAGAGCTAGCAATGGTACATCAAATCCTTCTTATGTTATCAGGTCTCTTCTGCCTCCCCTTCCTCTGACACATTTCTAGGACTGACTCTTCTGCCTTCCTCTTCTGCTTTTATAAGTGCTCAAGTGATTAGATTGGTCCCCTCAGTAATCCAGGATAATCTCCCTATTTTAAGGTCTGTAACCTTAATCACATCCACAAACTCTCTTTTGCTATGTAAAGCAACATATTCACAAATTCTCAGGAATTAGGGTTTGGCAATCTTTTGGACGCTTTATTGTGTGTACCACAGTTAGGTTCTTTTCATATTTTTTCCCTTAATCTTTGTAACAGCTCAATAAGGGAAGCATTATTCATACCCATTGTGTATGGGAAGAAACTGAAGCTCAGAGAGGTTTGTATCACAGGTGACTTACTTTGTCCAGTGGGTTAATTTCCTAGGTCTACTCTAACAGCCACAAATGAGGAGACTTAAAACAATATAAATTTATTCTCTCATAGTTCTAGGGGCTCGAAGTCTGAAAATAAGGTGTCAACAGAGCCATGCTCCATCTGAAGGCCTCAATAAGAATCCTTCCTTGCCTCTTCCTACCTTTTGGTGGATCCTGACAGTCCTTGGAGTTCCTTGGCATAAGCTGCAAAATTTCTATCTCTGGCTCCATCTTCACATGTCCTTTAACGTCTCTATGTCCCTCTTCTTCTTATAAGGATACCAGTCATTGATTTAGGGACTACCCCAAATGTAGTGTGATGTTCTTTCCAAATACTTAATTAAATACAGCTGCAAAGGTTCCTGTTTCAAAATAAGGTCACAGTCTGAGGATCCAGGAATGGACATGAATTTTGAGGGGATACCATTTAACCCACTGTAGTCAGTATAGTGTGTTACTTCTGGAAGAAAGCATAAAACCTAGCATGTGATTTGCCACTCTTTGTTTCCCTCCATCGTGGCAATCAGCAATGCTCCAGCCAATGTCTGCTCCCTCGGCCTGGGCTCTAGGGTAAGGATGAGGCAAAGCAGAGCCCCATCTGACCTACAAAGAACATACAACAAGAATAGAAATAGATGTGTCATATCTCCTGACAGATACCATCTACAGTATTAATGACACAGTCCAGCCCTTCGGAAATATTCCCAGCAGCTAAGGCAGCTCCCCACTTCCTTGTTTACATTCAAAAATACCCTTGAATATTGACATTAGCCAAAACCACTCTGTGGCCTCACCGTTCTCTTAGTCCCAGCTCCACTGGCAACATTTTACTGCACTATTGTTCCTCTATGGAGCAAGGTGTAGAAAGAAATAGATTTCAAAGACTGTCTTTTGTATCCTTAGAGGGGCAAGTTTTCTAGGGAAAAAAAAAAAAAGAGTAAAGGCTAGAGCATGTGAATGTCCTTTGAAATTAGCTGCAGAGTAGCTGTCTGCATTTCAGGCTGATAGTCTCCTCTCCAGTTTCAGAAGAGTTCCCCACCTGCAGCAGCCAGGAATGTCTGCTGAGAAAGCTTTGTTCTCTGCCTAAACAGGACTTTCTAGGTGTGCTCTCCCTTGCCTGTCCGTGGCCACTTGTGCAAAATTACCCAACACACTGTGACTCGTCAAATTTGCTTATTGATGCTACATGAGTTCTCTGCGTACATCTGCCAATCTGCTCTTCCCTAATACTGGTCTAATTGCTATGCGTGTGGGCCAGCGGACTCAAACTATCATCAGATGGGCTTTAAAAGTGAAGTGGATAA